TCCAATTCTCATTTGAAAATGGACACTAATCTTGAAAAATTGAAAAAGTATTTTCCCGCTCTGCCTCAGAATGCGATTACAAAAATTTACCGTGCTAGATGTGCAAGATTGAGATTGTTAATGAATCATGGAATTCCTGAAGATATTCGCTGGTTGATTGAAGCAAAGGTCCGATTATCAGGTGAGTCCTCTAACTTCATTTCACACATGCCTGGAACAGGTAAAAGCACTTTTGCAAAGAAGCGTCGTGCAAAACGACTGGATGTCTGTCATCGATGTGCTAGATGGACTTGTAATACACAATGTCGTTCTTTAGGAATGGTATCTATAAACCGTGAAGATAAAATACAATTCATTAAGGATGGCCTGAGTAAGGAGTCTTTAGATAATCTTCTATTGACTCTTGAGACGCATCCTAGTGGAGATGTGCATCGTGCAATTCATGATTTATGGCCACTATTTCATAAAGAACATGATAGACTTAGTCTTGGGAATCTGACTAAAAAAGACCCTGTTTGCCAGTTTTTAAGAAAACTGGATGGGAAGCCTATCCCCGACCCATAGAGGGCGTTTAAGCCGTTCTTGGACGTAAAACCAAGGGAAGATGTGAGCCACAATCACAACTACCTGTACATACACATGCTTGGTTTTATTATTGTGTTTTGTTGTTTCTTATATTTGTTTCAGTGTGTTTCAGGTTTGTCAGTGTTCGTTATTTCAGGTGATATCTTCTATACTCTATCTTTCTACCTTAGAACATTGAGGACAATGTCTCGTTTTGGTTGGGGGGAGAGGGTAGTAGTTGATAAAAAAAAAATTGTTTTTCATTTCATAAAGCATGTGCATAATTGTTGTTACTAGGATGGCAGAGTAAAGGAGTTCTTTTGTTAAAGTGACTCTTGAGACGCATCTTAGTAACCATTCTTAACAAGGTCTATTATAATACTTCCTGAAATATTCAGGTTTACAAACTCTCGTATTGTTACCACTTAATTCTGCTCATATACTTATTTAACATGTATTTTTAAACCTTAATTTACACACACACACTTTAACATATGATTGTGGGTTGCATATTGGATTATTACATTATTTATGTTCTTTTGTTAAAGGTAACAACTAAGGGAAAGGGATTGTATATAATTAAAAAGAAAAAAAAAAAAAAAAAAAAAAAAAAAAAAAAAAAAAAAAAAAAAAAAAAAAAAAAAAAGAAAAAAAGAAAAAAAAATGATGATAATAAAAATGTAGATAAGTTTGGTTTCGTAGCCTCCCTAACCTAAGCAATTAAGCCCGAAGGGGTGTTTTAACACCTAATACCCTAAAGTCAACTGACTTGGGAGCTATTGGCCCAACGCTTGTTACATGGGTTGAGGAGAAAAGCTTAAGGGAATCAAACATTGCACTATCTACATATCAGTATCTGCGACCCGAGTTACTAAGCTCGTAGGGGTGTCTTAACACCTAATGCCCTAAGACCAACTGGTCTGGGAGTCATTAGCTGAAAGCTCATTACATGGGTTAAAGATGCATGATGTTTTTAAAGTATATGTATATAGAGTTAAAAAAAAAAAAAAAGACAAAAATAGTAATCCCAACCCAAGGAAGTTAACCTTAAACATTAGAACAAAAATTTTGTTTTCTTCCAAGAAAAGCCCCATAATTATGTGTTGATACATTGAGCACAAAAGAAAGGTTTATTAATATCTTGTTAAGAGGTATTGAGCAGATATATAAATTTAATGAGAGTTTGTTTATCTGGATAGACTAATGGAAGTTAAATGATGAATACCTTGCTTTGTGAAATTTGCAAATTTGTTTTCTATTTTAACGCTTTGATTACTAGGGACTAGTAATAAGCTGGTTGGGGGGTGTGATTAGTACTTAAAAGTGCATTTTTATCATGGTTTTATATCATCATTTTGCACTTGAAGTATCAATAACTCCTTAACTAAAATATGTTTTATAATAATGTATCTAATAATATAAGATACCTATAATTTATGGTAAATGTCTATTTTTAATGCAGGCCTATCACATAAATGAAAGGATTGATTGATGACTTGAAGAACTTAAATTGCAAGGATAAAGAGATGGCCAAACTTAGAAAAGAGATGTCGGTGCAATCCAAACCGGTTATAATTTGTACAATTAACCTCCATGTGGTTCGACCCTGGTCTTGCCGGGTTATTTATTACTTCGACACTCCTGCACTTGGGAGAAGACATCAATCTTTTAGTCGTGTCATCCTTGTTCCTCATTAAGTTATCCTATAACTGATTTTCCCCCTTCCCAAAGTCTCTTAAGAGTAAACCGGTTTGGTCTCCTTAATTTTATTTAGTGTTGGTCGGCCTCTTGTTCAAGTTTTCGTTAGGATTTACATTTTTTATCCAAAGTTGGTTGGTTTTTCACCCCTTAATTCTTCCTAGTATGGTTCGGCCAAAGACAAGAATTGTCAAGTTTTACAAAACACATGGATTCATCAGCGCACCCAGCCATCGTTAAATTAGAAATTGTCAATAAAAGCCAAGTAGCTTCTGACTCAGAAATCATCAAATAAACTGATTTCATAGCTGACGCATGGATTTGTCAGCGCACACAGTCTTTATTGACTTAGAAGTCATCAACGACAACTGTGTCGCTGCCGATTCAGAAATCAACAACAAAAAACTATGTCACTGCTGATTCAGAAATCGATAATGAAAACTAAGTCGCTGTCGATTCAAAAGTCAACAGTGACGATGGAATGGTTTCCATCTTTACCCCTTTTTTTGTGATTACAATATTTGAAAGTATAAATGTTTAAATTTGTAATAAATAATTAATTTTGATATTATTTTAATTTATTTTATATATTTGATTTTAATTTTTTTAATTATTCTTCTACTTTTGGTCATTATACATATTTTTAAAAATATTATAATTTATTACTAACGAGGTTATTGACAAAACACTTCTACATGTATATTTTAAAAAGTTGAAAAATAATTACTATAAATGTCATTGTTATTATTAACTCTCTAATGGAATTATAGATGGTATTCCTTTGGCAATATGTTACATTTACAAATGGATATACTAACAGAAAAATAAAAACACTGATGTAATTGCATACAGTGTTCTGTTAGTTGTATGACAAACATTCCAAGGAAAATACCAATGGAATGAAGCAATTAAATTTTTTTGACGTGTAATTATTAACAAGAGTTTTGTTGATTAATGGTTTTTATTCATGAGTTCATCGGTAAAATACTTATCAACAGACTATGAGTGTAAATACCGACAAAAAATTTCATCAATAAAACTATAAAATCTGGTAATGCGAGTTGTGAATTGAACAGAGCAATATCCATTATCTATCCAAAACCTAATTTTATCCATGTAATCTATACTCCAATCCATTATGAACTCAAACTATTTATAAAATATTATACCATTCACCAATATCCATTCAATTCCAATGAAATTGATATTTTGTAAAGACTTGTTTGGAACTAAATTATATGCTAGATTGAATTCAACTTATAAGCATATTTTGATAACTTATTATAATTTTTATGTTTGAGATAAAATACTAAGCCATATAATTGCATTCAATTATACTATTTGTAATACTTATGGAAATAAATTAAATTAATAATCTTAAATATTCTGCTCTTAATTCAAAAATTATTTTTGTTACAACATAACTTCTCTTTACCCTACTATTTATCGATATCTCCATTTGATAATTTCTTAGTAGTGTTGAATGTAGTGAGCATGTTTGGATCGCGTTCCTAAAAGTTTTAATTTTTTTGCTTAAAATGAATTTTTTTATGTTTTGAGATCGTTTTAATGTGTTAATATTAAAAATAATTTTTAAAAATAAAAAATTTTATTTTAATATATTTCTAAATAAAAAATACTTTAAATCATTATCACTACCACAATCAAAATAATCACTTAGCATTGAGAAATCACTTTTGCTATCTTCTTCACGATAATTAAGCACTTGAAACATGTTAATTTACTATCAGAATCAAGCAGTCGAGGCTTCCAATTTCAAGTCCATTCAATGATGGGCTATAATTGAAGAAATACCTCATAAACAACTTGCATAACATTTGTCAAGATCCCATCTCAAATCTAATTAGGAAAAATTTATAAATAAGAGTATTTGGAAATATGGTTATAGTTATAATTAATTTTTTTAATATTTTTTATTTAAAAATATATTAAAATAATATTTTTTATTTTTTAAAAATTATTTTTAACGCCATTATCAAAATAATTTAACTATTGCTATCTTTTTTTATGGTAATTAAGCACTTGAAACATGTTAATTTACTATCAGAATCAAGCACTCGAGGCTCCCAAGCTGAAGTCCATTCATTGATGGGCTATAATTGAAGAAATATCTCATAAATAACTTGCATAACATTTGTCAAAATCCCATCCCAAATCAGACTAGGAAAAATTTATAAACAAGAGTGTATAGGAATGTAGTTTTTTTTTTAAATATTTTTATTTAAAAATATATTAAAATAATACATATTTTTTAAAAATTATTTTTAACTCTATTATATCAAAATAATTTGAAATATAAAATATATTAATTTAAAAAAAATATTATTTTTTTAAACACAAAACCAAATAACAAAAATAAAAAACCCTTAAAAACCAATTTATAAGAAAGTTGAAGCTCAATCTTGACTGATAAACTAGGGATCTTATCGCAAAATTCCAGATTAATCGTAGCCAGAGCGTACCCCCAGTTAAAAAAAAAACAAAAAAAACCATAAAGTCAACAGGAGAGGAGTATTATTCAGACCTGCAGTTCCCAATGGTCCGGAACCCCGCAGCGCACCAAGGAATACCATTTTTAAAGAGAAATATATTTAAAAAAAAAAAAAAACGAATACCCAGTAGGCACATTTTTTAAAAAAAAAACGAATACCCAGTAGGCACATTGATATAAATGCCGTCCCAACCGCGCTTCCCAACATAGAAGACAGACACCACGAGCAAAGACAAATAACAGAACCGTAATTCGCATCGATCGGGCAAATTAAGATACACACGTGTCACCATACTCTTAGCGGCCCGTAACCACCTCCATCGAACGTACCACCCCGCCTCTCTGGCATCCTTTTGTACTTTAATTCCCCACGGCTCAAAAAGAAAAAGAAAAAGAAAAAGAAAAAGAAAAGGCATAAAAAATCCCTCCAAAATCCTAGCACACTCTCCCACGCACTAGGCACCCTCTTTGTTCTCTCTAGAATCTACCGTCAGATCTGGATCGGAACAAGATGAGCTCGCCGGCGCCGGTTGCTGCGATGGCGGAGTCGCAGCAACGGAATTCGTCTTCTTCTTCGTCGTCTTCGAGTTCAGGCGAAATCTCGGTAAGAATCGAAGGGGAAATCAGCATTGGTGTTGGAACCAGCGGTGATGGTGATGAATTGGAGAGCAGAGAGGCAGTTGATGTTGCTTCAGTTAGCAACGGTAATTCGTCAAGTTGTTGAATTTAATTCCGTTGTCAAAAACAGAATTCTGTAGTTCGTTTCTAAATAGTAGATTCTGATAACATTGTTGAGCATAGGGATGAGAAATTTCCGTTGACAGTTTGTTTCTTATTGTGTTTGCCTAATTTCTTGGTTTTATGGGCTTATAGATTTCTTTGTTTAGGAATCGGCGGCGGCGGGACATCAAACACTTCAAGGGTTGAAAAGCCTGGTGTCAACAAATCAGAATCAATTCCGAGTCGGCTTAAGTTAGAAAGATCCAAAACTGAGGGGCAAAGACATCACAATATACTTGCTGAAGAGGCTGCAAAAATTTACGATGACAAGCTTCCTGATCAGGAGAAGGTATTATTAGCCTTCTGCAAATACTCGGTCTCCAATTCCTAATTACGATATCTATTCAAGATGTGGAGTAATTTTAGTTAATTTTGGGACAGTGATTAGTTGTTCCTACTTGATTTAGGTTTTTATTTCCTATAATTGTGGTGTTTTAAGTTGTTGAAGATGATGGAACCATGGTTAGAGTTTTTATTTTTTATTTTTTTTTGAATATGCAGCGTATATTGTTGAACAGAATGGCAACTGTCAAAGATAATGGAACTGTAGAAGTTGTGGTTCCTGGGGATGTCGAACCCCGAACTCTTGGGGTCGGATCTGATTATGCATGTAATGCAGTTGCTGATGACGAGCCTCTTGATGCAACAGACCAGTATATACCGCCACTGCAAATAGTAATACTCATTGTTGGCACGCGAGGAGATGTGCAGCCATTTATTGCGATAGGTAAACGTCTACAGGTTAGTCGATGATTCTTATTATCAGCTTTTCAATGGGAGCCCTATTCATGAACAGTTGTTTGAACTTTTAATCTTCAAATTTAAGCATGTTTAACATGTTTGCTATTTATTCCACTGAAGCTTTCAAAAAAAATATGAAGGTTGGGTTGTCTTAGCCATTATTCATTCTTTTGCTGCATGTGATCACACCCATCATTTTTGGCTTATGTTTCTAATGGTTTTATTCATCTACAACGCTTATTGTGTGCTTTCTTAAGTATTGGTTGCTGAAAAAGCTTGCTTCTTGCTATGTTATGTGAACAGAGAAAATCTAAAGTTCCATTTTGTTCACTGTATTGTTTACAATGAAAGCGTTAGTAAATATAAGTTCGGATTATTATCTACTATTTTGTTTTCAAGACTTAATCATTTGCAAATATTGTTTCATTTACAAGGGCTTTTTTGTGCAGGATTATGGCCATCGTGTTAGACTGGCAACTCATTCAAATTTCAGAGAATTTGTCTTGACAGCTGGGTTGGAGTTTTTTCCTTTGGGTGGAGATCCTAAAGTTCTTGCTGGTTGTATGTATTTAGAAATGCCACTTATTTTAAGTTATTGGGCTCTTTCCCCCCCTCAGTCTATATGTTTTAGTCTTTTGGAATAGTTCCATATCTCTTAAGTCATTGAAAGAATTCCAGGAAATGGTTTTCATTGTTCATGCTGCAGCCTAGGAACCATTCTTTTTGTGCAAAATGCACTGTTGGTTTATTATAACAAAGTGAAATTCAGATGATCTTTTGCCAAATTTGTAGGATTCTACCTGTGGATTACTCAGCATGGACAAAAAGTTTTAAGTTATACTTCAACAATAATAGTATTCTGGTCTGACTAGCAACAGATAATGCATACTTTTGTCTTTGTATTTATTTCTGTATGTTCAAAAGGTGCTATGGACAAATTTTTTATTGCAAAAGTTTTGACTGGAGAATTTTGGAGTTCATCTGAAACATTTAATTTTTCTTTCAAGAAAGCTTTCTAGCCCCAGTAAGTTGCTTTGTGTACAAGTTTCTGTTACAAATTTCTTCAAATATATTTGAGACTGATTCTCCAAAAGATTACATTATCGATTGCGAGTCTGATTTACTAGAGTTTATGCTTTATTGGATACTTGCAAATTCAGAATTTTAGTTCCTTCACTAACTTTCATGTTTTGTTTGGCTTTATTGAGCAGACATGGTAAAAAATAAAGGATTCTTGCCATCAGGGCCTTCTGAGGTATCCATTCAACGAAATCAAATAAAAGAAATTATATACTCCTTACTTCCTGCCTGCAAGGATCCTGATATTGATTCCAAAATCCCTTTTAGGGCAGATGCTATCATTGCCAATCCTCCAGCATATGGTAAAACTTCTTCTGAAACTCTCATAATGTTTTGCGCTTCAGTTGAAATCTGCTGTAATGTTCATGCATTACCTTTTTTCTTAATCCTCTGCTGAGTTTCCAGCACCTCTGTAACTCTTCCTGACTATAATCAACTGTTCGACATAAACCCTAATTGTACTCGTTCCTTCATGAAATGGGATCATGATTTTGTAAATGGTTCGTCACTGTACCTTAGGATAAATTCCTCCATTTCCCTTCGTTTATTCAATCTCAAGTTTTTTCCGTTCTTTATTTATTTTTGGTTTCATATCTGGCATCTCACTTTTTATGTCTAAAATTGCTTTCCTAATATATGAAGATCAAGGTAATTGAAACATTTATTTTTTAACTCCCTCATTTGGCATTGTTCTCCCTTTTATTTCTAAATGGGGGTTGTGGATTGGGAGTTATTTTTTTTGGTTTGTGAAATGATTCTTACATTTCTTTGTTCACTCAATTTTGTTTTAGGAAAGGGCAACCCTCTTGCTCTTGTTCCTCCTGTGGTAATATTTTGTAATTTCCTTGGATGTGCATCCTCTCTCTCTTTCTCAGTTTTCTTCAAGTTTTGGCCACTATATTGCTGTTCTTTGCTGTTTTGTATCATTTTCTCTTCCACCTCTCCATTTCTCTCTTTTGTGTGTCTGCTCTTACCAAATTATGCAGATGTGGCTTGTTTTTTTTTTTTTTTTGCATGGAACATCTCTGTTTGTTTCTTTCATAGATACATTCAACCTGTATTTATATTTTCATGTTCGATATTCTACAACTTACCCTTGTAATGTTTTCTTTAGGGCATACTCATGTGGCAGAGGCCCTAAAAGTACCACTTCATATATTCTTCACCATGCCATGGACGTAAGTCTTCCCTGGGTAATGGAATCTTGTTTAGTAGGATGTAGCTTCAACATTCTTACTGTTTGTCAATGTTGACATATATAAATCTCTCTAATGGGTAAATCCTCAACTGTTTCAAGCAATTTTATTTTTTATCTTTTCTTGCCAGGCCAACTAGTGAATTTCCTCATCCCTTGTCGCGAGTCAAGCAATCAGCTGGATATCGAGTAAGCCCACTGGATTTTTTCCCCTTTTAGCTCTCCTTGTGGCTTCAATTTCTTTAAAATATCTGGTTATTTCTGACTTACTTTTGGTCACGTGCAATTTCTGTAGCTTTCATATCAAATAGTTGATTCGTTGATTTGGCTTGGAATACGGGACATGATAAATGATCTTAGGAAAAAAAAGTTGAAGCTACGACCTGTCACGTATCTCAGTGGTTCACAGGGATCTGACTCTGATGTCCCACATGGATACTTATGGAGTCCTCACCTTGTCCCTAAACCAAAAGGTGCTGCATACAGGGAGAATGTTGAAAGTTTGCATTACAGTTTTACCTGCTTCTGCTAATCTTCTACCATGCTAAATAATTATAGCTAACATTTCATATTGAGTGCTTTTCCTGTTTCAGGGCAAATATATGGGAATGTTCGTAGCTGGATGTTTATTAGGTTAGGTTGCATAATATGAAGTTTTAGGGCTTTAGGAATAGAAAAACAGAACATAGAGAATAAACTTCTGCCCTCACACTAAAAGGTTTAGGATTCACTTCTAGATTGGAAGCCTCACTCTCGCATAGCCTAGCAAAAACTGCAATTTATTCAATAGAAAAATTCTCTACTAGAAATCAAAATACTACAAGGATATTTATAATGCTCAAATGACTCCTAATCCTGATGGGACTTGGATTCCTATGTAGGAAAACATAAGGATTCCAATATAAGAAACATAAACAAGTCCACTTTTTTTAAGGACTAAATAAAGTATCTGAACAGGAAAAATAAAATAATAGACTCCTATCAAAATTCCAGCAATTCAGTAAAATTATAGAATTGCCCTGGACAACTTTGATGCAGCTCTTTTGGAACTAAACAACATCAGAAACTTAAACCAAGTCCCACAAGGAGTCCTTTCCTTTATCCCACCAAATTATGGCGTGTGCCTTGAGGCTTGCATATCTCCCCCGTATCCCTTTTGTATACTTTAGACTGTTTTCTACCATGTCCGCTCGTGTGTCTTAATGAATTTTACACAACCAGGGTTATTGTTTTAGACAAAAGAATGATTATTTGGTAGCACCTGAACCTTAAAATGTTTTGTTTGTGATAGCTAATTGTATCCCCTTAGGTAATTGGATGGGGGTTTTTGTGGTAGCGAGCTTCTAATTTCTTCACTTTGCTCTGAGCATCTAGTGTCTTTTCTTGATATGCTAGAAAGTTATGTCGTGGAATCATATTTTTGGTTGCTAAATGCTTTGCCTTTTATAAATTTTTGAAAAAAACAAGAAACTTGTGCTATTGAAGGTACCCTTTTTTCCTTCATAAGGTTGCAACAAGTCAAAGTATGCTTTGGACTGCTCACACTGGGTTTGGTAAAAAATCTTTTTTGAGTTTGAGCTTGAATGAATCTCCCAAATTCTATTTGAAATAATCTATGATTTAATAGCTGAACTCAAAACTCATATCATCTAATTAACCAGCTTGGAATCATGTACTCCAAAATAGAAGACTTGCATATGCTGTTGCCTAATATAACAAATCATAGAATGTTTTGAGGATGATTCCATCTGCAGTGGTGAATTTTGTTTTTAATTCAAATGGCTTTAATGGATATAACTAAGATAAATCAATGTTTACTGGTATCTATAAAATGATCCTGAGATGGAGCATGTAAATAGTTTGTTCTTGATCCTCCTTGCAAATCTAAAACTGTAGAACCTAGTCTAATCCAAGCTTCGATGCTTTACTAAACAAGTTTGAGGTCACGTTTGAGTGTGTTTGTTAATTTTCATAACTGATCACAAATGAGTTTTTATCTCATGATTCATGCTGTCTACGGATGGTTTATTTCTTATTATGTGCGATTTCATATTAAACAAGCTGGTATGCAAGCTGGCATGACTTTTAATGGAAAGGTTCTAATTTATAGTTTGCATTTTTTTTTCTTGATGTGCAGATTGGGGGCCTAAAATTGATGTGGTCGGCTTCTGCTTTCTTGATCTAGCATCAAATTATGAACCTCCGGAATCACTTTTGAAATGGCTTGAGGCTGGTCAGAAACCTATTTATATTGGATTTGGTAGTCTTGTGAGTTCATTTCCTAGTTCTTTCTTTGATTTTGTTATTTAAAGGAAATTTAAGGTCTGTTTTCTATCCAAACATTACTCATGAATTGTAAATGTATGTTCTGACATGCGCATTATGGAATCTTGAACATAATTCTTATATCTTATGTTATTCTGACATGGGCATGAGAGAGATTGTTGAACATAAAGAGTTCCTATGTGTTTTCTGGCTAAGATGATACTTATTTGTTCATATTTGGTTTGTTTGAAGTGGATTATTGTTGAAGTTTAAGCAACTGCAGTTCAAAAAGAATCAACTGCAGCAGAACCTTTTCGTGTTCAGATACTACCATTTGATGTAATCTGATGGGTGTCTCATGTGATAGAAATAGTCCATATTGTTTTCATAGGACTGGAAACCTGTTGTTTCCTCCCAGTGACATAACTGATCTTATATGTAATAATTTGTTAGCGCGCTGATGTCTCAACTATGTGTGGATTAGCGTGTGAATTGAGATATAATCATAATTGCGTATTTGGTCAACATCAAAGTGTCAGTGCCCAATAATTGAGTGCGGAATTGATACCAAGAAGATCTACTTTGCAATAGGATTACACTAGTTGCCATCATACATGCTTTTTTCCCCCCACCATTTTCTTAATTTATTTTCTCAGTTCACTCACTATTTTTTTAGATGTTGTCCTTACATTCTTCTTATTCATGCCAGCCTGTCCAAGAACCAGAAAAAATGACCCAAACAATTGTTGAAGCGGTGGAACAAACTGGGCAGAGGGGCATCATTAATAAAGGCTGGGGTGGCCTGGGCAACTGTAAGTTTCCGGTCCCCCCTTTAGAGTTTAGTATGTTTACTAGCTGTCTCTTTTTCCTGCTGTACTGTCCGTGTGCACAGCATATCATCTCTAGGTATTTGCACTCTATCTATTTAGCTTAATTTTGGTTCCTCTCAGTGGCAGAACCGAAGGACTTTATATACCTACTGGATAACTGCCCTCATGATTGGCTATTCTTGCAATGCAAGGCAGTGGTAAGGCTTAATTTTTCAGCTTTGTCAGTTGGATATAATACTTGAAAAACAACTGTCACTCATCAAAATCTATAAAATGCGAAAGAGTAGGGAGGTGAGAAGTTTGAGTAGTTGATGATGATGTTGATTGGGTATTATATATTCTTCAGTCTTTGCGTTTCCTTTTTCAATCTTGTTGTCCAATTGTTGTTAGCTTGCACTTTGCTGTCAGGTTCATCATGGAGGTGCTGAAACACCAGCTGCTGGTCTTAAAGCTGCGGTAATAGCTGTGGCTTGTTCGTATTGTAGATTTCAGTGTCCGGTCCTTTCTGTCCTTTTTCTTTATCCTCCTCCTTTCGTGAATGTAGTGCCCGACAACCATTGTGCCTTTCTTTGGTGACCAACCCTTCTGGGGTGAGCGGGTGCATGCGAGAGGAGTAGGTCCTCCACCCATACCTGTTGATGAGTTCTCACTTACCAAGTTGGTTGAGGCGATACATTTCATGCTAGATCCCAAGGTAATGTCAAATCACTGGACATATACTAGCTGAGGATAAAAAGAAAAAAAAAAGTCACAATCTACAATCTACAATCCACATGCACAGTCCTCTTTTCCTTTCAGGCCAGGTAGAATTTATAATCTTGCGAAAAGCTTGACAAGAAACACTTTGATAAGCTCAAGTTCATTTTGGGAAGTGGGGAAAATGCACGTGCGGACTCCTTATATTTATTTACTCATCCAGGGAACTCCTTTCGATGGGCTTAAGTTCACTTCATCATGTATGAAGGGCATTAAGAGAGTTTGAACTTGGGCAATCTCCTTTTGATCTGGAATTAAAAACATGATCCATCTATGAACTTTCTAATCTTGGCAAAAAGATACAGTTTATGGCTGCTGGCATCAAGGAGCTCGAGCTTTAAATTTTTACTCGTGGCATTGAAAACACTTCTAGTTATTTTGAGCTAAAAAAGCAAAAAGTAAGCTTTCGAAAAAATGTCAAGCTTGCCTCCACATCAATTCCAGTCGCCGAAAAAGTAGGATTACTGTCATTTAGAACTAGAAGAAACTATATATTTGCAACGGATTCTAGGCGAGGGATTTACCCGATGAACTTAACATGTCAGGTGAAGGAGAGCGCGGTGGAGCTTGCCAAAGACATGGAGAATGAGGATGGTGTTGCAGGAGCTGTAAAAGCATTCTTCAAGCATCTCCCTCGAAAAAAGCCCGAGCCCGAGCCCGAGACCGAGCCCGAGCCGTCACAGGAACCATCTAGTATTTTCTCCTTCAGTAAATGTTTCGGCTGTCCCTGAATCTCAACTGGATCCATCTGGACTTGGTGGTGTGCTCAATTTACCTGTATAGCATGATAAGATTCCTCGGTAGTGGTGTCTGCTGAGTACTAACCGAGATAGAATATACCTGTTTCGTGAACAGCCAGAGGAATTTTCGACCATACTTGATAAATTGTAATTATCTCCATTTATTGCGGTCAGTAGGTACGTACTCGGTGCAACAGTTGAGCCGTTTCCTAGAGTTTGTACTTTGTATGTTCGTTTGTATACAGCTTCACCGTTTCGATTCCTTTAGGTTTCATGGGATGATGGGTCATGATTACGGGTCTCTCTCTCGGCGTCACCTGCCCAGGTGGATTCTGAATTTGTGGTTTGTGTTTGTGGCGCTGTCTTCCCTCGAGAACTGAATGTAGGCGGCGTCTTCTGCTCGACTTTTTGATGTCGCTGCCCCGCAGATGAATGTCTATTTGCAGTACTTGTCTGATTGGAGTGGGTCCCATGTTGCCTTAAATCTGGCCATCGTTCTCTTTATATTGTATTGAAACCGTGTGAATAATCACCGCCTAATGAAGATGATTACAGGGGTTGATTGTTTTTGTGATTTAAAAGTATTTTAGAAAAAGTTTAAATCTTTTTATATTTTTATTAATTTTAAATTAATATGTTTTTAGTATTTTTAAATTATTTTAATATGTTGATGTTAAAAATAATTTTTAAAAAATAAAAATATATTATTGATATATATTTTGATATGAAAATACATTTGCAAAGTAGCTGTAAATATACTTTCAAAAGCGGAGCTATGGGTTCTCCCTGGTCGGGGGCATGACAGAGAGGCTTCGGTGCATGCCAAGTGGATGAAAAAGATGACAGATTGCACGGAAGTGGCGGTGGAGAATGCAGGACGAGTGGCTGGTAGCCCCATAACTCTTATTTATAGAAAGCGGAGGAAAAAACAGCCTTCTGCATGGACATATTAAATATTTAACACAGCCAATTACTTCGGTTCAGACCAAGTGGGGACTGGTTTTAGCTTCCAAGTCCCACGATCCTACCACGTTGGCCATTGAAGAGCGCAAAGCTGATCGTCCAAGCGCAGCTTCTCTGACAGATCTGACTCTCCTCTTTCTCCAAAACAGATTAGGCTATCCATCTTGACCACTTCAATTTTTGGACAAGAAAAAAAAACAAATCGCTTTATCGAATGCTCCGTATCGGAGAGTGTAGCCCTCGCTTGAGTGGGAGAACTGTGCGTTGAAACCCGTGGGGAACCTGATTAATCCAAATATAAACCAGAGTATTAAGTGCTCACTGGCCTTCACTTGTGGCAAGAAACTTTAAGTGGACGAACGAAACAAAGAGTTAAACTCCTCCAAGATGAAATCCATTTGCCCAGGAAACTGATAATTGTCATAGAGAGAGAGAGCTTCCACTTCCCAATCCAGACTGATCTTCCTCCAGTAGCAATGCAGAAACTTCCCCGCCTCTCTCTCTCTCTCTCTCTCTCTCTCTCACATCTCCTGTTCCCAAGCCCATGCAGCACCCTATTTAGTGATGCTACACAGAGACTCCTCACATCTTCCAACTCTTGAGAACTAAGTATATATCAAACACCAAGTCAGCACATTTGGGTATTTCGTCCTTCTGCCGTTCTTTTCAAGCATTTTATCTGCTATTCTTCTTCAAGGTCTTACCTTGTGTCCTCTCAACCTTTTTTTTTTATCAATACAATAAATTTTAACGAAAAGAAAGGTTTCTCTTTCGTTTTAGTCTCACTACAGTCCATTTTGTGACTTTTATTTCATGATGAGAGATAACCTTCGATGATTTCTTTTTTCTCCTGGTAGCAGACATGGAGCCCGAAGAAAAGGTCTGTCCAATCAATGCAGGAGAAGACACAACAGCACGAGTGTTTCCTTGTTTATTCTGTGCAAGAAAGTTTCACAGTTCTCAAGCCTTAGGAGGCCACCAAAATGCTCACAAGAAGGAGAGAAATGCAGCAAGGAAGGCAAAAGGAGCATCTGAAATATTCCCACCACCAACATTCCCAATGATGTTTGCTCCTAGTCATCATTTAGGGCTCTTGCACCCTTCACTGTACATAACTGCTCATGCAGCCACCCTCCCGTGTCCTCCTACTCACCAGTTTTCCGATCGTTTTGGATCCAATAATGCAGCCACGTTTGATAATGTGCTGTTTTATGGGAGCAGGAGGCATCGTCAATATGATCAAGAAGATGACCAAAGTTTCTTGAACTGGCAAAGGAGCATGAGATGCAATGGATTCAACGAAGGTGGGTCCAACCAACATCTTTCAAGGGGGAACGGCAATCCCAAAATGGGGATCAGGAGTGATAAAGATCAGAAACTTGATTTGTCTCTTCATTTATGAAGAAAAATATGGTAAGATAATGACCTAGGCCGTATGGGCTGGATTAACTTTTGTAGCAACAAGCTTGAGAACTAATTAACTTTTAGTTATGGAATAAAGGTAATTGTAGAGTAGTTAATTTTCAATTTTCATAATCATTTGTTCTTCATATAGTGAAGGTTCTTGACCTCCAGACATTTTTTTGTCTTTTGTCTGTGGTAAACTAATCATCAGACTGGTTTATGTGTTAATCAAGATTAAGTTCTTCTTCAGATCACATTAAGAACACATCTCTAATGTCAATTCTTCAGTTTTCTTCTTTTCTTTTATCTTTGGATAAACAAGTAACTTTTTTTTCTTTTTCTTTTTTTATCAAATAATCTTTTTAATGTAATTGTTCAAACTATCAAGTGATTTTAAAATGTTATTTATATTTTTTTAAAATAATTTTTTTTAATTTTAAAACTTAGATAAATTTATTATATTTTTTATTTATTTTTTATTAAATAAATAAAAATAATAAAATTTAAATTTATAATTATTTAGTTGATGCTATATTAAAAAATTATATTAATCTAATAATTTAAATTATTAAATAAAATTTTAAGATATAATTTATATTATTTTTTAATATTTTATTTTTTTATAAAATTATCTTGTCATTTTATTTATTAAAAAAAAAATTTAATTCAAGAATTTTTAAAAAAATATTTTTGTTGATTTTGTTTTTTCATAGAAAATTTTTTTAGGAATTCTGTTTTTTGTAGGAATTCTGTTTTTATCCCTGCATGTATTCTTGGATCACAAATATTTAATAAAAAGGAAAAAATTTGATATTTAATACTTATGACTAACCTTTATAACCCTTATTGAGAAAATGATGGGACTGGGTCACTAAGGCTGGCTTCCATCGATGTTAGAGGAACCTTTATAATAATATTAACAATTATTTTATGAATTATCATGTGAATCTAATATATAAAAAAATATGCTTACGAATATTTTATTTTTGAATAAAATATTTTTTTGTGCTAGCTTGATATTGTGTGGGTAAAAAAACTAGTCAATCGCTATGTATAAAATCACAATTTCTGTAATTTTTGATAAACTTTGAGTCTTTGATATAATACTAAAATTAAATTTCACACCAATATTGATATGCAATCGTGCTCCACCTCTTAAATAATATACTGGAACATTACTGATATACTAAAAAAAAAAATAGGTATTTTACCGTGCAACCACCTTGTAGCTGAAAAAATATGTTGTTGTTCTTATAATTTTTTATTTTTTTTATATTTGGTTGTTATAGTATTAGTTTTTTTAGAAAAGTATAGTTTAGTCCTTGTAGTTTTGGTTGTTATAGTTTTAGTTTTTTCAGAAAAGTATAGTTTAGTCCTTGTAGTTTTTTTCCATCCTTTGATCCTTATAATTTTAGTTGCTTGCATTTTAGTCATAAACTTCATTTTCCTCACATTTTATTCAATGGATGTTGTGAAAAGTTCAATCGGTCCCTAAAGTTTTAGATTATCATATTTTTTACCCTTGCAATTTTAGATGTTTATGTTTTTTGCCCTAAAACTTTATTTCCCTCACATTTCAACCCTTAGATGTCTCAAAAAAATTATTTTGGTCCTTTGAGTTTTAGTTATTTACTATATTCTTGGCTAGCATTATGCCACAAGTTAGATTTTTTTTTTAATGTTACAAAAAATTCTAAATATGTTACATAAAGTAAAAATTTCAATGCATACTAGATAAAATACTTTTAAGGTATTGAGATGATGATATATTGATTGAGATTATAACACATTAACTTGATCCAGATCAATCATTGTTAACTTGCGAAACCTATGATCTGGAATATGATGTTATGATAACCTTATGAAATATAAATCTAAACATAATAGATAGCTCAATTCTAACAAACCATATACTAAAGGTCAAAAAAGAAAAAATAATAATTTTAAAAAATACAAAAGCCAAAAAATAAAAAATAATAATTTTAAAAAATACAAAAAAAAGCTATATCTAAGTAAACAAAAATATCGTTAGAGCATAACATGCTTATATTTAAGCAGTTGGTTTAATTTAATTCAAAAAAAGAATTTCTTAAAAAAAAGGCTAAATTTAACAAATATCAACAAATAAAAAAAATCAAGATAATCAGATTTATTTTAAAAGTTAATGAAAAATCCAATAAAAAGTAAATACAAAAATAATAGGATCTAGTCTTTAATTAAATCAAATGTTGAAGGTTGAAATTAAAAAAAAAAAACTGATCTTAAAAAAAAATGAACCAAATAAATCTCCTAAACCAAGGGTAATCTCAAAAAATTTACAATCCAGTAAATGATAGACTTTGGCTTAATTAAGAAGTTCAATTCAATGTTAAAAAGATAAAATTAGAAAAATAATAATTTAAAAAATTTATCAAAGTAAAAAATAGCAATAAAAAATGGAGGATGAAATTGTAAACAAAAAAATTTAAAAATGATCTCAAATAAAATAAATAGTAATAAAAGAATGAGGATCAAATTTGACTTATCAAAAAAATTAAAAAAAAAAGATAAAATGAAAAACAATTAATCATACAAAAAAAATCAAATAAAAAAAAATCAATTAAAAGCAATTAAAATAATGAAGATGAAATATGTCAAATTAAAATATTAAAGGAGGATGAGATTAATTTTTTTAAAATCTATAAATAATTCAAATTAAAAAAAATCTGCTGAAAGAATAAGAATCAAATTCAAAGAAAAAATAATTGAGGGATTGTTCTGAAGTTTTGGAAAGTTAGGTGTAGAAATTAATAAGGAATCAAACCAAAGAGAATCACATCACACATGCCGCCTGTAAAGGAGGCCATGCCATGATAAATAAAAAAAACTAAAGAATTCTATTTTTATCCGTTATAAACCACTATATATGTTGTTTGAGCAAAACGAAGCATCTTACTCGCATGTTCCAATAACTTTTTTTTTATATAATTATTAAAATACCAAATTTCTCTTAAGACAAATGATAATTACAAAAAGTCAAAAACAATAAGCTTTCGAAGGCAAAGTAAGGAAACTTTGATTTCAAAGACAATAAAATTATTTTACTATGTTTTCCTTTAAGGGCAATTAAGTAATTAATAGTGCAAAAAAATTAAAAAGACCAAGTTGTCCTTGCTCAAATATAAAATGACAAATGATCCTTGTGAAATGACTCAATGACCTCTGTTATAATCCAATTTTAGATTCTCCTCAAATTATCCTTTTCATTTAAATAAAATGAAAAAAAAGAAGAAAATAAAGGTCGGAAAAAATATAGGAAGGCAAGCGACTTGATTGGCACATGCATAAATGAGAGATGAAAGGACCAAATTAGATCTTTGATTTTATTTAGAAATTCAATGGCACCATTAAAAGATGTAAATATAAAAGGCAGTGTAAATTCAAATTCAAGGTAAACTTAAAAAACAAATTAGACAAATTTGCATAAAAATTCAAGGTTACTTAAACCTAATTAGATTTTTAATAGGGTAATTTGATTTAATCATAAGTATACTTAAATGTTTAATTAATTTTATAAATTAATTTAGGCCAAATTAAAATAATTAATTAAATACAATAACTTAATTAGACTTTTAATCGGTCAAATTAATTTTATTAAATAATTAATTAGTAATAAATTAAGTTTGGAAGCTTAATTTGAGCTTAATTGATATGATTTAAATTTTTAAAGACCATGTTTAATTTTTACAAGTTTAATGAAATGAAATTGGTGTTGAAATTGTAAGAAAAGCAAAGTTCAGGGGTCAATTAAGAGCTAAATTGAAGTATCTCAAAATCAATGACCAAAGTGTAAAATACGTGTAAGTTCAAGGACTACAATCATTTAAAATCAAGGGTCATCTTGAAAGAAATTGAAAGTTTAATAGTTGATAGTGGTCAAATTAAACAAATTAAAAACTAAGGATCAATTTGAAAAAGACATTTAAATCAAAGGAGTCAAATTAAAGTTTTCAAGGGTACGATTGCAAAAATTAAAAAATTTGAAGGTCAGTTGAGAGTGCATATTCTAGAATTGAAACAACAAAGACCAAATTGAAGTGTGCAAATTTCCAATTAGAAAACCCTAATTTCTAGGGTTTAATCTGAATGACATGTCTCTCATCTTTAATGAAGAGAATGATCAGCACTTTATCTAGTCTTTGTTTGTCATCTTCTTCAACTAAGAAGGCTAATCAGGTTGCCACCTTTAGGTGAATGAACAAAGTATCGTCAAACCACCTTAGAGACTCAAACCACCATTAATGGATTGAGAAACACCTCCTCTACAGGATCAATTATCCTCAATAGATATTTATACCTTTTTTAGCTTAATGAATTTAGCAACATTTTGAAGAGAATGATCGACACTTTATCTAGTCCTTGTTTGTCCTCTTCTTCAGCCAAGAAAGCTAATCAAGTTGTCACCTTTAGGTGAATGAATAAAGTATCTCCAACCACCTTAGAGACTCAAACCACCATTAATGGATTGAGAAACACCTCGTCTATAGGATCAATTATCCTCAATGGATGTTTATACCTTTTTTGGCTCAATGAACTCAGCAACATTTTGTTGCTCATAAACTTCCCCTATATTTGACAATTTTAAGTTTATCGAGAGCTTACTTTCCAATCAATGAATGTGAAGTTTTGAACTTTCAAATCAGATGACATTTGATCCCTATAATATATATACATTTTCTATAATCAATAGAATAATGTTTATGTATAGAGAAATGCTTTTTTTACTTGTTCTCATTATGGTTCTTGCTTTTTATTTTGGCCTTTAATCTTTTGTTTTTTAATTGTTTTGATGATTCCAATAATTCATGGTAAGCATGCTTAAGCTTAGGTTGCTAGGCTTAAGTTGTGTTTTTTTTTTTTAGTTTTATTGTAATTTTTTGTTTTAGATCTTTTGTTGGCCTTTTGGGCTTGCTGACTTTTCTAGGCTGACATTTATCCATTGAACTTTACTTGTGTTGTTGTTTTTCGAGTCATTTCAATTGATTGATAGTTCTTACATGTGCATTCGCATGCTTGTTAATCTTTAATCTAAGTTTTTTATGACTTAAAAACACCAATTTAAAGGGTTTTTTTTTATCTTCATTTCTTTTGTTTAAT